TCATCATGATTACAATTTTTCAATTATAATAATATTAATTAATTAATTAAATTACTTGCATTGTTTAGGATCCAATAAAAGAAAGCCTAAAGATAAATCTCCAAGCAAAAAATCCAAAAAATCACCAGCAAAGAAAGAAAATAAAAATACCAGACTAAAAAGAAATTGTAATAAAAACATTTGAAAAAATAATTTTTATACATTAAGTACATTTACTCCTTACATCAAGTACATTTACTCCTTGCATTAAATACATTTACTTCTTACATTGAGTATGTTTCTTTCTTACATTGAGTATGTTTACTCCATACATTGAGTATGTTTCTTTCTTACATTGAGTATGTTTACTCCATACATCAAGTATGTTTACTTTGTACATTGAGTATGTTTCTTTCTTGCATTGAGTATATACATTTACTTCTTACATTGAGTACGTTAATTCTTACATTGGGTAGATTAATTCTTACATTGAGTATGTTTCTTTCTTACATTGAGTGTGTTTACTCCGTACATTGAGTATGCTTCTTTATTACATTGAGTACGATTGTTTCATACATTGAGTACGTTTTTTAGTACAATCTCATTATTTATAAAATTTATAGGTTTTTTCCCATGTACGTAAAAATGCATTTTTCCTTACATCACATACACATTTCCGGAAAATTTTACGTACATTATTAAAGGATTATTCCTTACAAATAAATATTACAAAATGTAAGGAACTTCCGTACATAAATTTTCTATAGGGCTGATAAACATAGAAGAATTCTTGAGAGCATGTCAGCAAATTTAATTAAGATTTTGAAGATATAATATTGAAATGGCTTTTAACAATTAAAAAATTCTGTATTGAACAAGTTTTTGAATTTGTCTGTGAAATGATCTACATTTAATAGTAAATTGTGGGTTAATAACATATAAAATTAGATAATTTCATAAATCTCAATTTCTCCACAATTAACTTATAATATCTCCACAAAAACATAAACCTCGACTTATTGTTACTGGTAACTTGTTCTAACACTTCATTGTAACCTATTTGCTGTAATCTGGGTGGGACTTTCATTAATTGAAAATTCCCAAAGGAGAAAAACAAACATGTGTTCCTATACATTTAAATATGAGAGTTCAATTGGAACTCAATGAGACAAAATTTATTATTCATGTTGTTAATGGAAATGGTAACACTTCTTTTTGAATTTTACCCACAAATATAGCCTGGTCTGCAATAAATTATAAAAAATTTTTTTTTGATGTTTTAGTCTATCAAATCTTGCTTTCCTCTATAGTAAAGCCTTCTGAAATTTATTTGATTATGAAATTTTTTGGCTTTTTAAAAAACTAGGTTTTATTTTATTCTTTTGCTTGATTTTTTTTTTTAAAGAGGACGTGGCTAACGAAGTTGATTCTTAACTTTTCCTTCGACATTATTTTCATGTTTGACATTATTATTATTATTATTGGATTTTCTATAATGAGTTTCTTTACGAATTGGAATTTTTATTCCACTTAAACAACTTTAAAATAATTTTGCCCAATTTTGGCTGATAACAAAAAGTAGTTTGGGCTTATAAAAAAATAATTTTTGCCCAAAGTATTTGGGCAATTTTGGCTACTAATAGAAGCAGTTTTGACCAGAAACCTTAATAATTATACATAGCCAAAAAATGATTTTCTACATTAATGGATATAAAAAACCTGGAATTCTATTATTAAAATTCAAATATTATTTGAAAATACATCTTTAGATTTTGAATTTTACAATCAAAAGCAATTTGTTGTTTAATCCTAAAAGATAATAATTGCTTCCTTGATGTTTTCATACTAAAATAAATGCAAAAACTACAAAGTGAACATAAAATTATATATAGGGTTATAGGTATATGAAAGTATTAATAAAGGTAATAATTATAATGGATCTACTGAATATGAAAAGACAATTAATTTTTTAGAAAAAGGATGTGATTGTGGTTTTTCTTCAAGAATCCCCAAAGAAGAATTTGCAGAATCTTTTCAAGCTCTCACCAATCAGAACAAGATACATTTTTAATGGCTCAATTTAAAGCAATGGATGGTGGGTCAATAAGCACTGGTAAATATCTTAAAAAGAAAACCAGATCCAATAAAAGAACTTTCTATCATTGAGGTCATAATACTCTACTTTGCCAAGAAACTTATCTCAATGTGTTAGGGATTGGTAGAACTTATTTGAAAATATCAAAAATCACTTAGTAACAATGCTATTTTAGCATGAGTTCACGGCAATATTAAAAGGATGCCTCAATGAAATATTAAAATGGTGATTGATAAAAATGTTGCTGAAGTAATAACGAATTCTTATATGATTTTCCAAGTTTATTTAAATATCTCAAAACTTTACTAATCAAAGTAGGTATAGTTCCTAAGCTAAAATTAACCCTTGTAAAGAATTGCATATAAGAATGTTATTAACTCAAAATTGTGATTTTGTATAATTGGCTTGGTCTAAAGACCTCCTAAATTTTGGGCAAATTTTAAAAGTATAGAAGTCACTTTCTGTCCTACCTTTTAAAAAAATAGCTCTATTAGTTGATATAATATGTCTTTAGTTTTAATGTAATAGAGAGGTTTTCTCAAAAAAATTATTTGTTGTAGAGTTCTATTCTTTTTTAAAACATGTACTTTACTCACGAGGAATTTGTCCACTATGATCATCTCTAAATTTAGGAAGAATATTATCAAATTTAGACTAGATCTTGACTATCTTATCTCAATTTGGCAGTAAGAAAACTAAAATCACGTGAAGTCCTATTTTTTGAAAAATTTTATTACATTTTTGAACGAATTATGTACAAAATTGTTATTTTGAAATTTGGCCGCATGGCGCAGCAATAGGAGGTCTTTAGACTGAGCCAACCATATAATTTTCAAATTTGGCCACTTATTATGTCAATTGCTGGGACTAGACTAGACGCACCATATATATAAATATTGTATTGAAATGTAGTGCAGATCATTAAATTTTGTGGACATTTTCTATAATGAAAATCATTTATATGTTTGACATTATTATTATTATTATTGGATTTTCTATAATGAGTTTCTTTACGAATTGGAATTTTTATTCCACTTAAACAACTTTAAAATAATTTTGCCCAATTTTGGCTGATAACAAAAAGTAGTTTGGGCTTATAAAAAAATAATTTTTGCCCAAAGTATTTGGGCAATTTTGGCTACTAATAGAAGCAGTTTTGACCAGAAACCTTAATAATTATACATAGCCAAAAAATGATTTTCTACATTAATGGATATAAAAAACCTGGAATTCTATTATTAAAATTCAAATATTATTTGAAAATACATCTTTAGATTTTGAATTTTACAATCAAAAGCAATTTGTTGTTTAATCCTAAAAGATAATAATTGCTTCCTTGATGTTTTCATACTAAAATAAATGCAAAAACTACAAAGTGAACATAAAATTATATATAGGGTTATAGGTATATGAAAGTATTAATAAAGGTAATAATTATAATGGATCTACTGAATATGAAAAGACAATTAATTTTTTAGAAAAAGGATGTGATTGTGGTTTTTCTTCAAGAATCCCCAAAGAAGAATTTGCAGAATCTTTTCAAGCTCTCACCAATCAGAACAAGATACATTTTTAATGGCTCAATTTAAAGCAATGGATGGTGGGTCAATAAGCACTGGTAAATATCTTAAAAAGAAAACCAGATCCAATAAAAGAACTTTCTATCATTGAGGTCATAATACTCTACTTTGCCAAGAAACTTATCTCAATGTGTTAGGGATTGGTAGAACTTATTTGAAAATATCAAAAATCACTTAGTAACAATGCTATTTTAGCATGAGTTCACGGCAATATTAAAAGGATGCCTCAATGAAATATTAAAATGGTGATTGATAAAAATGTTGCTGAAGTAATAACGAATTCTTATATGATTTTCCAAGTTTATTTAAATATCTCAAAACTTTACTAATCAAAGTAGGTATAGTTCCTAAGCTAAAATTAACCCTTGTAAAGAATTGCACATAAGAATGTTGTTAACTCAAAATCGAGATTTTGCAGTTAGGGCTTTTTCTATTTTCTGTGCTCCATATGGTATATTTGAATTTTGGGTATTTTTAAATTTTTTGGGGATGGTATATTTAAATTTGGGTATAATTTTCTAAAAAAAAGTGGGCAGAGAAAAGGTGATTTACTATTAAACCTCAAATATACCATCTACTAAGATCCCGTTTAGGCATTTTAACAAAAAAAAAAAGGAATACATTTGAATTAAAAAATTGTTAAAAATCGCGCTCCATAAAAGGAATGATTTTCATAGAAAAATTTCACTATATACATATGTAAACTCGATAAGTCGGTCACTCGATAAGTCGGTCATATGAGCTCACCCCCACATGACCGACTTATCGAGTTTACATATGTAGTTGGCGCAGCATTTGATGTGTTTAGATGATTGGCATCATAAAACTATTACGTCAAATTCGTTTCCATTAAGTCAAAAATGACAAGCAAAAACACTTGATGTGAGTAAAATTGCTTTAAAGGCTAATAAAATATAAAAACATAAATATATATATTCAATTTTTTATTTTTATATTTTTCTTGTGCATCCCAGTCTTCCCAAAGAGCTATTTAAGCTCTTGTTTTTCTCTAAAAAAAAAAGAATTTGAATTAGCATACACAACAACAACAACAATAACAACAACATTATTATAAACCACTTACTTCAACGATTGATGTACCATCTCTAAACCTTGCAATAAACAAAACATTAGCATTATTAAATAATTCTTCTTTTAATGATATTACAATAAATTGCGATCCTTTAAATCTAGTTCGTAACAGTTGTCCAATGTTTTGTGTATGTGATAAATCAAGAGCTGCATCCACTTCATCAAGAATGTACATTGGTGCTGGTTTAAATTGTAATAAAGCTAAAATCAATGATAATGCAATAAGTGATCTAAAATAATGATTTATATTTATTAATTAATATATGCATATATATTTTAATTGATTCATTATAAAAAATTAACATTACCTTTGTCCACCACTTAATTCATTTAAACCCTCTTTCCATACTGAGCCAAGTTGTACTTTAACTTCTAAACCATCTTTTAATTCTTTATTTGCTGGTGGTTGAAGTTTTGCAAAATTGTTTGGCAACAATTCACTGAAAATTGCCCCAAAATCACTAAAATTTATATAATGATATATTATTAAACAAAATACATACACTATAAATATATGTAAAATTGTAACTTATGCATTAACTTTTTCCCAGGTTTTTGATACTGCATCATTTTTATATTTATCAAGTTCAACAATAGTATTCTCAATTTTTTTCTTATCTTTTTGTACAGTTGTCAACATTTTTTTTAAAGTAGCTTCATCTTGTTCCACCCTTATAAATAATAAAATTTGGACCTTTTATAAATCTAATATCTTATATTTTTTAACTGAAAAAAAAAATAACATACCCTTCATTACTTTAGCATTGATTTTTTTTCATATACTATTGTGTTTTTCTTGTAATTTTTTTACACTCATTTGGGCTATTATTCTCAAAATCATACAGAGAATTTACTTCACCAAAATGACTAGAAAAATTTTTAAATCCGTTAATGAAAAACCACTTTTTCACTATAATAACAACAACAACAATAATAAACCCACTGCTTTTGATGCATAATCCAATCATTTTCTCTTTCCATTTGCTGAACAATTTGTTGAGACATTCCCTTTTCTTGAAGTACTTTGTCAACTTCATGATTAAGGTTTGTAATTTCCAATTGTATGTTGTTTAATTGATTAGTTTTGGCCCTAAATGCATTTTGAAGTTCTCCAAGTTCTTCATCAAAAGCAGATAACTTTTCTCTTTCCTTCTCTAACTCAATTAAAGCGTTATCATACATTTCCTAAAAAATATAGGCATGCATTCTGAATTTAATTAAACATAATTATAAACATAATACACTTTTAAAATTTTCAGAATAGTATCAATGATAAACCTTATTTGTTGTCATTTCTGTTCTCATTGAATCAGCTTCATTCTCTAATTGCTTAATGTTATTATCATAATTTTTCTATTTTTTTGTTTGCATTTTGTAAATCCTCTCCAAGTTGCTCTAAACAATTATATAAAGACGAATCCCCTTTAATCATTCTATTTTTTTAATACATTCCTTTATTGTAATAAAATTTTTATAACTTACTAATTTCTATTTTTAAAGTTTGCACTTTTTGTTGCATATCTTTAACATATGCATTCAATTCTGGTAATTCAGTTTTCCCTTTGGATACCATCCTCTTTTTGTTTTTTTTTTTTTTTTAAAAAAAATTAAAACAAAGTAAATAAATAATAACAAAAACCAATTGATTTAAAATCTACCATAATATCTTCTATTTTTGAATCATGGTTATCATTAAGCTCTCTCATTTCATCTTCAATTCTTTGGCAATCTTGTAATGCACTATGATGTTTATTTTGCGAAGTTACAATTATAGCCTCTTGCTCATGAATTTGAGATTTTATGTTATCAACAATTTGAATAATCTAACAATAATAATCTTTTTTAAAAATTTAAACAATTATTCATTCAGATAATTAATAATTATATATACCTGTGAGTTACTCCTTTGTTTTATCTGTTATTCCAATAATGTAATTGCATGTGATTTCAATTCTAATTCTTTCTTTATTTGATTATATTTATTCATAATAGTTTGTGAGTTTCTTAATTCTGAATTTAAACTTTGTAAAACTTGCTTATGAGACTTCAATTCTTTTTTTATATCTTTAAGAGTTTGCATTTTTGTGAGAATCCCAGCTGAGGGGGGGGGGGGGGTTAGATCTGCCTTGAAGAGTACTGGATGAATCGTAAACATCTCCATCCAAAGTAACAGATTTAGTATGGACATTCCTGTTAAACGTGACTCATTTTGCTGTTTCAGCATCCATGCAAATCAATGTATTGCCAAAAACATATTCCATCGCTGCTTTTACTTCATTAGCATAACATATCAAGTTTAATGCCAAATCTACTTTGTCTGGAGAAATTTGTTTAGAAACTGCAAGTTTCTATTACAAAAATAAAAATAATTAATAAATAATTACATAAATTACATTATCCTTTCCTCTTTTACCTCAGATGACATTTTAGATACTTGGATTTGGTTTAGTGGAATGATAGTCACACATCTTTTAAGTTGACCTCTTTCTAAAAGTTATGTACCAACATTTTCATTATCTACAACAACCTGAAATTTAATAAATAAACAAATGTTATTTTTTTTTACATTAAAACAAAGCAATACCACTATCTATATGACAATAAATAAATAAATATTGTTGTACATTATATAATCTTCCACCAGCACAAATTTCTAAAGTGGTTGAACATTCAGCATATTTTGAATCTAAAGTAATCAATTCAACAACTAATCCTTTAACTTTATTTCTATTAAAATTTGATGTAGGGTCTTTATAAGTAAACTGAGTATTTCCTAATTGACTGGAAATATATTCATATTTCTAACAAAAATAAATAATTAAAAAAAATTACATATGTGCAAAAATAATTTTACTAAAAAATATTAAAAATAGGAAACACAAACATCTGTTAGTTCTTGTATCTTGGATTCTTCAAAGGACTTTTCATGCAATAAATCTTCTTCTCTACTTGCATTCCAATCAATTAGTGATAAAGCTATTTGTAACTGTTGTGCTTCCAATCTTGAAGACTCTAAATCAGATAAAATACCTGTACTATCTCTTGCAGCTTTGGTAGCTAATGGTTCTTTTTCTTTTAACTCTTTTTTAAGATGAGGAATTTTTAATTTGGCTTGTTCAATTTCAGTTAGTGCCTGAGTTGAATTACTTTTAACCTCTAGTAACAATAATAAAATATATCTTGAGCAATTTTTTTTATCCTCATATAAGTCATATATAAATAAATATGTACCTTGAAGTTGTTCCATATACCCATTTTCCTGACCTTCTTGAGCAGAAACACCAGTTGACAAAGTTTGTAAAAGTTCTTCAGATTTACAAACTTGTTTGTTTTTTTGATCATGGATTTTTTTTGCCTCTTCATAATGAGTTTCATGCATTTTGTACTCTTGAGTTTTTTATATCAATCCTTGTTCTATCTATAT